GCCTATAGTCATTCTTTCATTGCTTCTTGGCAACCTCTTTAGGTTTGAGGTTATTGTATGTTTGTAGGCTCATGGAATCTGCCCATTGCATATGTCCGTTGAAGCTGATATAGTCATTCATGACTAGTTTGATCCTTCATTTAATGCTCAAGATCTTGCATTAAATGTTGCTTCTTGTCTTTAGACATTGCGTGTATTCTTCTCTGTCTTGTTGGCAGCAGTGTTTGACTTTATCTGAGACCTAGGAATTGTTTGTCTTTTTCTGGTCATGCAGCAATATAGTTGTTGTCCTTATTTGAAAAAGTAATGCACTTTTTCTAACACATGCATGCTTTCTATTTTGACTCGTTTCTCTTCTCTTTCTTTCTTTCCTTTAACGTTAGAGCTTCTTGTATGATTGTGGACGATGTCTGAGTTTTCCTCTGAGATCTGATTCTATTCTTCATGATAATTTTCGTCTGTGTTTGATCATTTCATGTGCTTCTCAAGTTTTGGATCTTCGTCTGACTTTCTCTGATTAGATTAGTCAATGTGTAATTTAGAACTTTGAACTTTGTATGAGTATTGATGCATTGACTTCTCCTTTAGTCTATTCAACTCTGTAGATAGACTTTGTTTCTGTTTGAGTTCTTCTTTGGTTTGTGCTATTTTTCTTGTCATGTAGTCGACTCTTCTTATTTGTCTTTACCATTTTTCACCTGGTATATTGCGCTCTCGGTTGTGCATAGAACACCTTCATCTGTTATTAATTGTCTTCTGGCACATGTTCATCCCTTTCGTCCTTTGATCTTGTCGTTATTATTTTTGAATGATTTTGGCCACATAAATTTGCTCATCGTCTAAATTTGGATGTGTCTGCTGACGAGGAACTCTTTTGTTGATGCAGATAGGAGATTTCTTCATGGCTATGTAGATCTTCTCATTTAATGCATTTGCTTGTATACGTGAGATTTCTCTAAATGGCTTATTTCCTTTTGATGTATGAATCTAATCATGACTTGGGCATCCTTGTACTTTGTGCATCAGTGTGACTGCATAGTGCTGTCTTTCTCTGAAGAGTAGGTGTCCTTCTTCTGACATACGCAGTTTTGACTTGTGGATTTGCGCTTGTCTATTCTTTCATCTTTCTCTTTTTTCAGACTTGATGTCCTCGTGTGTTCCTTTGTGATTTGAGGATGATGTTTGTTATGAGCTTCAGACGTGCTTCACTATTCTCTGACTTCGTCTAGATACTTAAATCTTCGTCTAAGAGGTAGACTCTGGCTTTTCACTCTGTCTTGGTCAAGTGTGAGAATGGACGATTATGATTTCTTCTGGAATGCTTCTTCGTCTTTTGTTACTTGTTCTCCTGGCACCTTAGTTGACCTACGTCTTTATCTATTCTTTGTCTGGTTATTTGTCATGCTTCATCTGATGATTTCACAGGCTTTAATCATGTATATTGGCTTGGTCTTGTATGATATTTGGTTCAGCCCAATCTCTGTTCTCATATTTGTCTGAAACATTAATACACAAGTTAGTAATAACAACATGCATTATATTTTCTTTATTCAAAACCTTAGTGGGGCTTACGAATTGCTTCGCCTGACTTAACAAGAAGAACACATGAAGTCATCAAAAATAGGAGAAGAGAGAAGAAAAATGGACTAGTGCATATCCACAAGTCAAAGTTGCATGTGTCAGAGCAAGTACACCTACCATTTAGTAAAAAGACAACGCCTTTACAGCAAGTACAATGTCAGGAAAAGTACAAATATATCTAGGTTATGATTGAAGTCAGACATAGAAGTAAACAAACTACGCAAAGGACTTCACGTAACTCAGATTTGGCTAACAAACATTTAATGCAAGATCAAATGCATTAAATACAAGATCTACGAAGCCTGGACGAACTAAACAAGAAAATCAGATGATGGTTGGTCAAGCAACAAGACTAGGTCTGATCAAGAGACAAAAGAACATTCAACAAATACTAGACGAGGCCTACAAGTCAAAACCTTGAAGCATCAGACGAAAGGCCAAAACAAGACCATAAACGAAAGCTTTAAACATCAAATGGAAAACTTGACAAAGCCAAACCAAGCACAAGAAGAAAAATGATCCCAAGTCAGACGAAAAGCCAACACAAATATCAAACGAAGGTATGTCAAGGAAAACCTCAAGTGCAACATAAGAAATTAGACGAAGCATTGGTCAAAGATCAGAAGAAAGTCAACTACGCATCAAACGAAGGACAGCACAGACCAAAAAGTATTCCAGACGGAAACAATGTCTATCCATCTACAATGTTGACCAGACCAAAAGAAAGTCAAAGCATTAAGGACTAATGCTTAAACGAAGAACAAGACTTGAGATGCAAATGGAATAACAGACGCAGACAAAGACTGACGTGAAAGCATTTAAAGTATCAAGTCTCAAAGGACAATTAAGACATCGTCTACAATCATATAAGAGCTCTCAACATGATCGCGTGATTAAAGGAGAAGAAGAAAAAGAAGAAAAACACGCAAAAGCAAAATCATGCATATGTCAAAAAAAGTACATTACTTTTTCAGATAAGGATAACGCTTCTAAAGCTACGATGACCAGAAAAGGATAAAAAGTTCCTAGGTCTCAATTAAAGTCAGACACAGCAACTAACAAATGTTGAAGACTTCACGCAATGTCTATAAACAAGAAGCAACATTTAATGCGAGATCCTCTACATTAAATGAAAGATCAAACTAGTCAAGAACGACTACATCTGCTTCAATAGACACTTGCAACGGGAAAATTCTACAAGACTATATATAGATCATCACTTCAAACCTTGAAAGGTTGGTTTTGGCATTGAAAAAGAGTGATATCAAGTCCATGAAGCAACGAAACCAGAGACAGAGCGTATAGAGTCAAATGTGCCATGGTGTATTCATCTCTGTAGACTAAGGTGTTCTAAGTGTAACTTAGGAATATGTACCTTAGTGAGTGTAGAAAATATATGTATCCTCTCTATGAGAGTAAACTAAACACTCAATCGTTGTAAAACTAAGGTTGCATACCTTAGTGAGTGTTGTAAACCTTTGTATCCTCTCTGTGAGAGTAACCGAAACAGGAAGGTATTTATTGTAATGAAGCTGGAAGTGTTACAGACATAGACTATCCATATCATCCTCCATCCGAAGAATTGCGGCAGATTCAGAACTTGAACCTCACTGCCTTCCCCAATTTAGTCTCTCTAGATCTATGTGGAATGGGTCTTACAGGAGGCTTTCCAACAGAAGTAACCACACTTAAAAACCTTACCTATCTTTATCTAACCGATAATCATCTTCAAGGTAAATTTCTGCCTAAAATACTTTCAAAACTGCCAAGGCTTCGCATTATACGTTTGGGCCTTCCAACTCTATCAATATATATGTAATGTGATATCGTACGCATGATATTTATGTGTGATTTGTATTAAATAATTAGGAAGCTGAGAAATATATTAATACTTTTATTATAAAATATGTGATGTATGAGACCAAGCTAGAAAATGAAAATTATGAGTGTTGTTGTAAAAGAAGGTTTACAACAATTTGTTCTAACAATTTTTACAACTTTGTTTTTACGTTGTCCAAGAGTTTACAATTTTATCAAAAAAAATAAATTTTGAAAAGTTGACAATTGAGAAACAATTGATTTGCAACTCTTTTCGCCCACAAGTTGTATTAATTGTAAATTTGTAATGTTGTTAAAAGTATATTTAATACCTCCGCCGCTTCACTAATTAGGTATGCTTATTATTTTTGTGTTGTACATGTTTGATATTAGTGAACAAGTGTATTCTTCCAACTAGTTTAGAGAAACCTTTGACTTAAACTCTTTACTATACATATTGGAGATTGATGAAAAAGTATACCCTTCCAAACTAAATATCAAGATCGATTTCTTTGACAATACACCTAAGTAACTCCTTTATAAGAGAAACCTTACCATTTGACAAGATTTGGAAGAAAAACAATCAATAAAATTTGAAATAACATGAGTCATGAAATATCTTTAAATGAATCTAATAATTGTTATAAACATTTGGTTTAAAAATTAATTATGAACTCTCACCCGAAACATCATATTGATTCATGGGAAAAAGAAATAATATAAATTCATCATTAAGTAAAAGTTGCTATCCATACACAAAAAACAGATCGAGTAAGATAACCAAATGAAGTGAAGCTTTTACTACCATCACAAGATGCAACTCATACAAACCAATGGTTAGAGTTGGGATCATAAGATCAAGATGTGAAGCAAAAACACCATAAAATATCACATATAAAACAATTAACATCCCTTTGTATCCAACAATTCCGGTCAATATACATCTAAATAAAAAATTTAAAAGTTCTATCACATAAATGCTTGATAGGAATGGATGAATTTGGTATTTGGTCCCTTGCCCTTTTCCTAAGAAAGACAAATACTACATGCCAATCAACTGTATAAAGTCAACTATTATAACGTTTGCAGCCACAAAATATAGTTTAGAATCCCTAAATTAAAGTCTAAAGAAAACGTTTCAATAACGTTATATGCAGTCAATAGTAAAACAAACAAATTATGTTAGCATTAAACTCAATGATAAACTCATTTAACCTTTCTAAATGAATCAACTTGAGTCCTATATACAACTCCTTTAAATGAATTTTATGACTAAGTACATCAACCCAAATAACTCAATCCACTGACTAGATTGGTTAATGACAAGTTGAATTAGATTGGTCAACAAATTGAAACTTATTTTTATTTTTTTAATTTTAAATTTGAGTTATCTATTTTCAAATAGACTCTAAGAATGAACCCAGTGGTAGAGAGAAAAGAAAGACTTGGATTGGATTTTCCTCAAAATCTTTGTAAACTGTTAATCAGAATTTCGAATTTGAGTTAAGATATCAACTTCTAAGAAGTAGAACTAAGAAGAAAAAAAATCAAATAGAAAAGGATACACATCCCTGTAAACAAAAAGATAACCTTATCCAAATGGGAGGCCATGCCACCTTTGATTTTTTGAAATGGGAGAACTAAACAGTAAACACCTTTGCTTGACCCAATTTGATGAGTCAACACTGCAAGTATCTTTACACTGTACACCTTCTATTACCAAAAAAACTAGCTCAAAGTTTGAGCCATTAATGCTTGTGTGTGCTAGTTCTTCACACCAGCCATGGGCCTCACCCATACCAACACTCACCACGCTCTCAAAATGCACAACCACAGAGCACGTAGACCAGCTTCACGCACGCATGATCACAACGGGCTTCATCAAAAGCCCCTCCCTCACCACCAGGCTCGTTCTCTCTTTCATTTCCTCACCCCACGAGCCTCTCGTCGAGTTCGCACGCTATGTCTTCTTCAAGCACCAGGCTTTTCGCGACCCTTTTCTCTGGAACACCGTGATCAGGTCCCACTCTCATGGCTCTGACCCCAAAAGGGCTCTGATTGTGCTCCGCTTGATGCTCGAAGATGGGGTGCGTTTGGATGAGTACTCGTTTTCCCTCGCTTTGAAGGCTTGTGCCAAAGTGGGGTTGGTGAGGGAGGGAATGCAAGTTCACGGGCTGCTGTGGAAAATGGATTTTGGGGAAGATGTGTTCTTGCGGAATTGTTTGATTGGTTTGTTTGTGAGATGTGGGTGTATTGAGCTTGCACGCCAGGTGTTTGATAGAATGCCTGACCGGGATGTTGTTTCTTATAACTCGATGATTGATGGGTATGTGAAGTGTGGGGCGGTTGAGAGGGCGCGGGAGTTGTTTGATGGTATGGGGGAGAGGAATTTGATTACTTGGAATTCGATGATTGGAGGGTATGTGAGGTGGGAAGAGGGGGTGAGGTTTGCTTGGAGTTTGTTTGTTAAAATGCCTGAGAGGGACTTGGTTTCGTGGAACACGATAATCGATGGTTGTGTGAAGCATGGGAAGATGGAGGATGCTCGGGCGTTGTTTGACGAGATGCCGGATAGGGATTCGGTCAGTTGGGTTACCATGATTGACGGTTACGCGAAGTCGGGTGATGTTCTTGCGGCGAGGTTGTTGTTTGATGAAATGCCGAGGAGAGATGTTGTTTCTTGTAATTCGATGATGGCTGGATATGTTCAGAATGGTTATTGCATTGAGGCTTTGAAAATATTTCATGACATGAGAAGGGCAACTAATGTGGTTCCTGATGAAACTACTTTGTTGATTGTTCTCACAGCATTTGCTCAATTAGGATACGTTGAAGATGGAGTTGTGGTACATAATTATTTAGTGGAGAAGGGCTACTCTCTGAATGGTAAACTTGGTGTTGCTCTAATTGACATGTATTCAAAGTGTGGTAGCATTGAGAATGCTATCTCAGTGTTTGAGAGTGTTGAACAAAAATGTGTTGATCATTGGAATGCTATGATCGGTGGCTTAGCTATTCATGGAATGGGTGAAATGGCTTTTGATTTTCTCTTGGAGATGGGAAGGCTTTGTATTATTCCTGATGATATCACTTTCATTGGGGTGTTGAGTGCTTGTAGGCATGCTGGCATGTTGAAGGAGGGACTCATATGTTTCGAGCTCATGCAAAAGGTATACAAGCTGGAACCTAAAGTGCAGCACTTTGGATGCATGGTGGATATGCTTAGCCGCGCAGGGCATGTTGAAGAAGCCAAGAAACTCGTGGAGGAGATGCCTGTTGAACCAAATGATGTGATTTGGAAGACTCTACTTAGTGCTTGCCAAATTTATGAAAATTTCTCTATAGGGGAGCCTATAGCTCAGCAAATGATTCAGCTATATTCATGCAGTCCAAGTTCCTATGTGCTTCTGTCTAATATTTATGCCAGTTTGGGCATGTGGGACAATGTAAAGAGGGTTAGGACAGAAATGAAAGCAAGAGAATTAAAGAAAATTCCAGGTTGTAGTTGGATTGAACTGGGGGGAATTGTTCACCAATTCTCTGTACAAGATAGGACACACCCTCAGGTTACTGAGATTTATTCTTTGTTAAGTAGCTTGTAAATTCCTATTTTGAAGCTCATTCATGTGATGTTGTATGAGTTGGGAACTCGTGCAATGTGGTATGAAAAGTGGATTTCTTTTTATACCAGCCTAGTTCTGTAGATAAGCGGTTATATAACCATTTGTTGGTTTCGAAATAGAATCGAGGGCCAATATAGTTTGTAAATTTTTTTTCTTTTAACATGTTGACAGATTTAGCATGCTCATATGGTCAGTAGTAATTTATACTTCCTACATTACTCCTTGCTATCAGATTAAAGTTACATGGATCATATTAAAGGACGTGAAGTTTATGTCAAAAAATGTGTTATTAATATTCTCCGATGTATGTGTTGTGGTGGGGTCTAGTATCAGACCACTTGTAATAGGGAAACATTTTCAGAACATGTTTTAGGTTTATATAAAGATTAGAGATCGGACTCTACTTTCACTAGAACATAACTACATAAGACATCAACTCCTGGTGAATAACTATATTAGACAAGAATATTTTTTAGGACCATTTTTTAATGGAAAAGTTTTTAAAAATCCTATTAACTTCTTGTATAATTCAATTTCATATTTATTTATGAATTAAATTTTAATATTTTTAAAATAATTATTAATAAATAAAAATAATTTGATATCACAATATAAATTATTTATTATTGAATAATGTTCCTTTTACTTAAAATTTAAAAGAAATATTTTTAAATAAGTATTGTTTTAAAAAAAAATTATTTTACTTAAAAATAGTATTTTTTTAAAAAAAAAAGTTAGACAAACACATTAAAAACTAAAAAAATACTTATTTTATTTTTAATAAAATGCTTTTATAATTTTTTTAAAAGAAACCGACTCAATATCAAGTTTTGTCGATATTCAGGGATAAGGTCAGGGAGGGACATGGTCTCCCCCATTCTTTTAAAAATTATCAAAATTATCTTAAAATATTTTTTTAGCTCCTAAAATTATAAAGAGAAATATTATAGGTTGATAGATGAAAATTATTATATTTAATTACACTTATAAAAAGAAAAAAAGAAAAAAATATAAGATTGATATTAGGATGACAAATATACTCGTACATGTGGGTAATACCCGAACTCGTCCCAATTTTGACAGAAAATACCTGGTTTATTCGGGTACAGGTAAAATCCTATATATTAAATCGGGTACGGGTATGAGTATATACTTACCCGCCCTGTACCCATCCTCGTACCTGTCCCCGTCCCCATCCCCAATTTAATACTCACTTAATGATAATTGGGTTAAATAATTTTAATATTTTATTATGTGTGATTATTTATTATAATTTGAAATAGAGAAATAACTTAATTATAATTGTAATATAATAGAAAAATAATTTAAAAATATTGTATATTTTTTTACAAAAAAAATAATAATTTTTGACGAGTATGAGTACAAGTATATCCGATACTCGACGGGGATGAAATGGGGATGAAGATAAAAATTAGGCTAAAATCCTATTTTGGTCCCTTATATTAATTGTTTGTTTCAATTTAGTCCCACTTTTATTTTTGGTTTCAATTTGGTCTCAAACTAATTAATTTGTTTCAATTTAGTCCAAAATTAATTAATTAGTTTCAATGTGGGACTTCCGTCCAAATTATTTAAACGGAATTAACTTTTGGCCACGTGGATGCCACGTAGATGCATACGTGGATGAGAATCTTTTTGAAAACACCTGCACCCAAAACGGCCCGTTCTGAAACCGGAACGGGCCGTTCTGGTTGCAAAACTAAAACACCACCAGTGAAGCAGAACGGGTCGTTCTGAAACCAGAACGGCCCGTTCTGCTTTCAAAATAGGCCGTTCTGGTTTCAACACGGCCCGTTGTGGTTTCAGAACGGGCCGTTCTGAATTCAGAACGGCCCGTTCCAAAACTGTGAATAAAATATTTTTTGCTTAATTGTGTTTTTGATCGCTCAAGTATTATTATTATGCAATTTTGATCCTTAAGGTTTTAATTGAGTAATTTCAGTCCTTAAAAGATTATAGTTGTGTAATTTTAGTCTCATAATTTTTAATTGAACAATTTTAATCTCTCAAATATCATAATTGTGCAATTTTAGTCGTTCTCATTAAAAATTAATAATTTTAAAATTTTAATATATATATATATATAATGTTTTAAAATTATATAATTGTTTGCTTATTTAAATTAACGTATATATAACGTATATTTATTATTATTAAATAAATAAAATTTATATATTATTAGTATTTTAATATTAGTGATAAACTAATATCAATAATATTTTTACTATATTTATAAATAAACTAATAATTTGGTAAATATAACTTAATATATATTAATATACTTTTACAAAAATATAAATATATAAGATCAGATATATATTTCTAATTAATATACTTATATTTTTGTAAAAGTATATTATTATATAACAAGTTATATTTATCAAATTATTAGTTTATCTATAAATATATTAATAATATTATTGATATAATATCGAAAATTATAATATACGTTAATTTGAATAGATAAATAATTATTTAATTTTAAAACATTATATATATATATATATATA